CCTTTCAAAATTGGTATTTTTTTATTTAATTTTTATTTATTTATCTTGTATCTTAGCATACGGACAGCCTGATAGTAAGTAGTTACTGTCGTCCAAAGACGTCAGTAATGCCCAAGGCATAGGGACGCCATTGCCTACAGCAAAGAAACTTTGAAATTATAATTTTCAAACTATTGGTTTAAAAGTTGACAGGTTTTTTGTCTGTCATGACGAAAGGTTACTTGATTTTCAGTCCAATTCAAGTTTTCTCTAATGTTTTGACGACCTCATGGTCCATTGAGTATTCAGTGGCTATTGCAGAAAAAGCCAAGACAATGGTACCGGCCTGGACGGACGCCTTTTGTAATTTCAGCCACGTCTTAAAATTAACTTTCTGATACACAAAACCAACAAAAGTTGCTAATGTATTTCTGTAAAATATTAAAATAAACCGGTAATAAATAGACCCAATTACCCTAGTGATCTTGCATGTAATATTTGACAACCGACATTAATTTTAATGCGATCAATACCTCTTGATATTTACATTGAAACTCTGCCTATTCCAAATATTCGGTGTATTAATCCGAGATATCAAAACGCCTTTATAGACAAAATACAACAGATTGTAAAGAGAAGATATTAGGTGGCCTAGTTTCTTTCAAGCTCTTTAACCTTACTGTTATCTAATTAGGTCCAGATTCAAGCTACTTTATTCTACCATTCAATTAGAAAACAATAAACTATTTGCATCCTCAAAATGAAGGTGCTATATTGTTCTCTGAGCTGATTTCATAACTATTCTACCAATTGTATTGATGTTAAGACGAGTATGCCCTACATAGATATGTTTTGTTGTTACGAAAGCAGAAGATGTATACGGCTATCTGATCTCGTGTGGCCATATCATTAATATAGCTTTAACCAGCCATCCTAGGCAATAGGTCATTCTTCTTGTGTAATGTCGGACTTTCCCGCTTGAAGAATTGAATTGAAGCTATAAAACTTTAATGGGAGATCTGTTTGAAATGAACCCTCAAAATGGGATGTGTCATTAATATTACTAGTTAATAGTTAATATAAATATAAGTTTGACCATTAGTATAGTTCTATTGTCAAGGACTATGCTTCTATATTCGATCGATCTGCTGCTATTCGATCTTATCTAAGCATCAACTTCCACAATGCCCTTCATGTAGTTAAGGATCACAGCAGATGGAGGGAAATCGTACGGGAGAAACTGATGCAGCGGGGGAGTCACGACCCTCAGTAATGAGGAAAACGACGCGAGGAGGAGGTGGATGCTTCTATAACCACAGATTTCGCCAATAGACATACAATATTAATCTATTCTCAATTAGATCATACACTTTAACAATAAACAAAAACGAATAAATAACGAAAAAAACGAATACGTGTGTGTATCAATAACATGGTAGTGTGTGTAATATTTTTTTTATTGATTTGAAAAAAATTAACATTATGCACTCCTCTATATTCTCTATAAGTATAGGAAATTTCATACTCCTCCGTCCGCGCAATTTTCAGAAAAAGGGGTTCAAACTTTTTGCTTCACGTTTAATTAAGATAGTGGCTGTGGTAATTTTATCGCTGACAGAATTTATGAGAATTTTCTGAGCGCGGTTTGTCATTCTGAGGAGTTGAGTCTTTGGTGTATTTATGGTCATGATTTCGGAAGGAACAATTATTAAAAGACAATAATCACAAGACGTGTAATGCGCCATCTTGGGCAATTAAAAACATCCATAATGCATGTCACTCACATGTCATAACGTGTTATTCATTTCTCAACGTCGTGTAGCGGCGTGTAACTGTAAGTGTTGACTCCTGATATGGATCTAAAATAAAAGAACAGTATGATGAATCACTTTGGTGGTTTTTGAAAGATTGCCAAAGGTGCTATACACTGACGGGCCAGCGGTGTTCAAATTTATGGTTAAGTGTTTGAGCAGGTGCATATGAATTTATTATTATTATTATTTTTTATTTTTTTGTTTAGTTGGGTGGACGAGCTCATAGCCCATCTGGTGTTAAGTGGTTGCTGGAGCCCATAGACATCTATAACGTAAATGCCCCACCCAACTTGAGATATAAGTTCTAAGATCTCAAGTATAGTTATAACGGCTGCCCCACCCTTCAAACCGAAACGCATTACTGCTTCACCGCAGAAATAGGCAGGGTGGTGGTACCCACCTGCGTGGACTCACAAGAGGCCCTACCACCAGTAATTACGCAAATTATAATTTTTCGGGTTTGATTTTTATTACACGACGCTATTGCTTCACCGTGGAAGTCAATCGTGAACATTTATTGAGTAGGTACGTATTTCATTCGAAAAAATGGAAATTACTAAATTAAGTAGGTAGGTAAGTAGGTAGGTAGTAGGTGAGCTCACGGGGCTCAAACCTCACGATGTTGCTAACACGAACCTTAGCAAGAGCCGTGCTTCGCAGAATCTACCACCGGATTGGAAACGCGACCCACTGAGAAGATCCGGCGAGAAACTCAGTGGGCTGTGTCTGAGGGTTAATTTACTCGTCGAGCCCTTCGCCGCAAGCGACGGGTTCGACGAAAATGATGACCGGTGCTTGAGGTACCTAAAAGCACCGTTAGTGGATCGGGAGGATCCGAAATGATGTGTTTGGGGCGACGTTCCATTCTGTCCGCAGGATCGGGAATGTAGTTACCGTTGGCCACGATGAGAGGGTTCTCGTGCCGTGCCGCTTTATCGAAGTGGCGGTTTACCCGATGTTAAGCTATTGATAGTACCCGACCACTACCGGACTAGAAGTCTTATTTATATTATAATAAAGGTTATGTCACCTCATAAGGTTATGTCACCTTGTGAGTCCCTCCCACCGCCCCGCCTATTTCTGCCGTGAAGCAGTAAAGGGTGGGGCAGCCGTTGTGACTATGCTGAGACCTTAGAACTTATATCTCAAGGTGTGTGACGCATTTACGTTGTAGATGTCTATGGGCTCAAGGAACCACTTAACACCAGGTGGGCTGTGAGCTCGTCCACACATCTAAGCAATAAAAAAAGGGTGCGTGTACTTATGTACGCGCGTAAGAAGTTATACTTTATTTTTATTAAATTTATTTCTTTTTTTAAAATTTAAATTTTAATCAATTTGAAAAAAAAAAAACGATTAAGCAACATCCTCAAACACGCATATTGGACATTCTTTTTCTTGACATCGTATAAATTCGGTAATCCTCGGTACGGTTCGGAAAGTTCACCTTCGGCTATATTCAGACTCGCCAAGTTACGTCGGTCGTATTGTAATGAGCGATTTAGTGGGCAACTTCATTCTGTTAATTTTGTGTCACGGTGCGCGCGCATCGTAAAATTTCACTCTCATAAATTTTTCATAACGCGCCTAAAGAAGTATAACTTCAAATTTAAAAATATAGCATACTTCAAAAAGTTCATGATCTGTTTCCGCGATGTAGCATCGTACGATAAAAATCAAATCTACGTAAATATAATTGCTTAATAATTACTAGTGGTACTGGAAACTAGTTCGGGTAGGTACCACCACTACGATGATTTTTCAATTAAAGCTCTCAGGCGTTTCGTTTTAAGGGGTGCGGCGTTAATGTGTTTAGCGTTGTGTTATCGTCATCATACCCTTTTTCCGGTCATCTGGGGTTGGCGCAATATGTTTTCTCCTTCTATAGAAGAAGAAGCTAAGAAATAGTATATGATAGAGGAGTATACTCCTCTATCATATACTCACTCCCCTCTTAGACATATCGTCTTTAACGCAATCCGTTCCATTTTTTCTTAGGTCTACCTCTTCCTCTAAAGCCTTGCACATTCATATTTAAAACTATATTTATGGGTTCTCAAAACTATTTAGCACTTGATGGACTGCGAACTTGGTCACCTCTTTAGTGCAATCAAAGATATATAGCGAAAAGCACTTTATGACACCAATTAGATTCCCACGTTTCCGCCAAATGTCACGAAAGACATTCGTCACTCGTAATCGCGGTTTTCCGTGTGCGGCACGAATGTGGGTGTCATTATGTGAATAACGTAATGTGACTTGTTATGTGTGCGGTCAAGTGCGGGTCATACGCCCAACGGTGTCGCTATCGTAGCCTTGTAGACACTGCGGGCTCGACTGGTCTGTACCACGGGTCGCTTCAAAAGGGTCACATCACGTGTGACCCTTTTGATTAACTGGACTATTTGTCCAACTACGTTTGTAAAACTTACCAACAATTAAAGTGCAGTACTGCTAGCGGATTTGCAGGGGAGGTCCATACGGATGGAAACCCCCTTCCTATCTGTTTCTTCAGTGAAGCTCATCCTTATACTAAAATATTGTTTTTTAAGTGGTGTAGCTTCCCGTCTTTAAAAATGAATGATGTCGCCCTTTAAAATGATGTCGGCCGGTAAACAACTCGTGATACGATACTAATAGGTTCTATGAACTGCAAAAAAGTTCTCGCAAGGGAGTTTTTCATTGAGCGCTATTGGTAAAAAGCGCCACCAAAAGTCGCTAAGGGATTTATCAGAGAACGGGAAGGGTATTTATTTTCGAAGTATTATACCAATTTAATGCAATTCATGATCGGAATTTGTGGGCGTATTGTTATGAGAGGTATTGGGTAGGGTACCGCTATTTTTTAAATTTCTTCTGCGAAGCAGCCGTTCTTTGCGGTTTGAAAGCGACTCACTATGTGGCGACTTTCAGGTTGTGACATCTATGGAATCCATTGGATATTTAGTTGTTAAGAAATTAAAATAGATTGACAAAATAGAACGGATATGCTGAGGAAGTAGAGAAAGCCCTAAATCTGGCATTAAAAGCGTGTGTACCTGTAATGAGCATTAAATTAATATCATGGTGTTAAAACGAACGCAAAGTTCAAGGCTCAATGCGACCATAGTAGGGGAACAGGCCTTGCTGAATTCAGAACTCGAACATCCACCCATCTGCCCATCACCACACCGGCCGTACAATATCAGTTGAATTCCGACAGCGAAACGTGCAGCACGCGTCGCAAGATACCTACGCCCGAAAATTTATCGAAATGACATTTTAAATTCGAAAAGTTGACATTGACAACTGTTTGAACTGTCAATACTAGATCTGTAAAGCATATCCAACAGGAGCGTATTTGTGTGTGTGTTAGTGCGAAACAGAACAGACATGGCATGTGAACGTTTGTGTGTTTGTTTGATTTTATTATGTCTCTATTGCATCGCTGGGTATGCGCAGGTGAGAATTAGAATGTATATTTTTTCGTGGGTCACTAAGTAGATATTGTTTATAGAGATAAAGTTCCCTATTGTATTTTTTAATTGTCGTTTGCTTGCAATTGGCTTTATTGAGTTATAAAGATTTTATAAAAAATGTTTTTAAGTTGGATTCTGTTTATACTTTATGTAAGCATGCTATTATATTTGTTGTTGTATCTTTAATTGTGTGTTATATAATAAATTTAATTAATGAACACAGTAGCACACAGCATAGACACAACAGTCTCTACATTATCGTTGGTTGGCTGGTAGATAATGCTCTAAGTATTAAGTCCGCCACGATACGCTTTGTGCATATAGTTTAATCAATGAATATGTCAGTAAGTTTATATGTTTGTTCGCCAAACGATTTCTTCCATTCTTATTGAGAGATGAGTGAACGAACTAGCGGCCTATTTTGTGCTAAGTGGTTACCGATGCCCATCTATACACATGATAATGGGCATGCTATTATCCATTTGGGGACATGAAGCGTATTTTTCAATTACACTCTAAGTCTCAGCAGTCTCGGCTATCAAGCCTGGCTGCTTCGCTACACAAAAAGGCTGAATAGTGACAATTACCAGTACGGGTAAACCATGCGACTTACAACCAATTATGACTGGTATGTTATAACTGTTATAACATACGCGCTAATTAAGTAAAACAGAAGAGAGGAGCTTAATAAAAACAACTTTATTTTATACTACTCGTAATAGCGTTACTGTATTAAATTTTAAGATAATAATGATCAATTTAAATTAGAAATGCTTTCTATAATAAAACGCTGGTGCTATATTATTGGTATTCGGGGGATTTTGTGGCGACAAAGCAGATATTTGCTGGTTCAGCACACTCGCTCGTGACCCAGATCGTATCGCCTCAAGTCAGAGGTCGCGGGCTCGCCCAGTGCGATTTCCACGCTGTTTTTATTTTCCAATAATATATGTTTATAAATGTTGACGTCCGGCAGTCTGTCAGCAATTCCTTGCCATTGTTAATGACATGGATAGTGGCGCTTAAGCCACTCGTTAGCGGCGGGGAAAAAAGACACCAATAAAGCATTTAAAAACAAAACAAAACAATTCGTTTGAGAGATAATAAGGTCGTATAGGTCACTATGTTGTTGTTTTAATGTAAATAACAAGATAATTAATTCATTGCGATTCTGTTTATTGAATCAGGCCTTTTAAGAACATTTAATACTCATTTGAGTTATTATATATACGACACATTCAATACCGTTTTTTATGTTGTTGATCGAACAGTCCACTTGGTTTTAAGTGGTTACCGGATTCTGTAGACATCTGATTTCTTCAAACCTGATTGCTTGATTATTTGCGGCTGAAATAGGCAGGGTGATGGTATCTATGGGGCTCACAAAACGTCCAATCAGTAACTAAAACGCGTAATTATGGGGATGGCGGGATGGATGTAATATGCTCTGCGTAAGCCCTGTCCCGCCGTCTCAATAGCTCCGACTGGGTACCCGCCCGGTCCGGGGTAGGGCGCCGGCTGTGAGCGGCAGGAGTTATTAGTGAGGTTCAACTCCTACATACGGGATCCGGCGATTTTCTCCTGTGGAAAAAAACACGTAATTATGACAATTGTATTTTTGCGGATGTAACCTTTATTGCTCCATGTTATTCCTTCAATAACCTCTCCAATTGCACTCTACAGAGTACGATTATCGGATTTTCACATCCAGCTCTTGCCAGCCATCCTGCATATATTCTTGTTACTCCAACGAGTCTGAGGCTTATGTGCGGCAGTCTTCTGATATAAACTGTTAATGATGATGACGATTCCTTCATATTTTAGGTCATTCATAAACATGTGTTAAGTACGTGTTTTATAACAAAAATTTCGGATTCGAACATCGGCGCAGTCACTAGCTGGTTAGGGATACGAATTAACATTGCTATTTATATTTTAACATTCAACAAGTGTGTTATACTGACAACTAAGTTGAAATAAATGATTTTGAATTTGAATTGAATTTGAATGCACTTAGACCACGAAGATTTTAAAAACCTAAGCCTTTCAAAATAACTATGTGCTTAGTGTGAGTTTTTTAACGTTGTCGATCGCGTAAAAGTTAACTCAAATTTGTGATGAGTTGGAATGTTTGTCTTCGTTTGCCGCTAGGGGCACTGTTCCAACTCACTGTTAAGAAACTGACTTTCGAAGCTCCGACCTCAAGAATGCGCGATGCGCACACCTGTGCACCGCGAGCGCATTCTTGACTTAAACATCGCGATATTAACATTATTAACACAATGCGATTAATATGTATGAGCATGTTCTGTAATTACCTATATGTTTTTGAGAATGTCTCGATTCATCAATTTATTTATTTACTAAGTTGCACCAACAAAGTGATCATCAATACAAAATATTGACAAACTGACAAAAGTTCATGACAGATGTCACCTCAATTATATTGATGTGGATGAGGATGTGAATGTGATATTATTGACTAGTCGCAGGGCGTCTTGTGAGCCTGCATGAGTAAGTACCATTATCCTGCCTATTTCTGCCGCGAGCAGTAATGACTTGAGATTTGAAGGGTGGGGCAGTCGTTGTCCTTAAAAATTGAGATTTAGAGAACATAAGAACTACGACGTAAATAAATTGTAAAACGTGTAAAATAAACTAGATAATAAGTCGTAAAACTCACGGAAATCATAAACATAGAATTCAAAAGTTTGATTCGTCTTGCTACTCTTTGTAATAGCATCTTCAAATAAGCCGCGTGTTCACTGATTTTTTTTTTCTGTTCAACAAAAACCTAATCGTAATAATTGGAGTTGGTAAATGAAAACGAAACCAAACCATTCTGCGATGTAAGGAATTACTTTATTAGTTTTAATATTACTACTGGCGGTAGGACCTCTTGTGAGTCCGCGCGGGTAGGTACCACCGCCCTGCCTATTTCTGCCGTGAAGCAGTAATGCGTTTAGGTTTGAAGGGTGGGGCAGCCGTTGTAACTATACTGAGATCTTAGAACTTATATCTCAAGATCGGTGGCGCATTTACGTTCTAGATGTCTATGGGCTCCAGTAACCACTTAACACCAGGTGGGCTGTGAGCTTGTCCACACATCTAAGCAATAAAAAAAAAAATACTTTCGTCATTAGCTAAGGATTCGTATCTCTCAACCCGGTCACCGTCCTCGTCGAACCCGTCGCTTGCGACGAAGGGGTCGACGAGCGAATTAACCCATAGACACAGCCCACTGAGTTTCTCGACGGATCTTCGCAGTGGGTCGCATTTCCGATCCGGCGGTAGATTCTGCGAAGCACTGCTCTTGCTAGGGTCAGTGTTAGCAACTCTCCGGTTGAGCTCCGTGAGCTCACCTACAAACGTTAGGGTGAAGCTGAAATAGCCTCCTCTCAAGGCTATCAGCATACTTAGGAAAAAAAATATCTCTCAATCTGGCGATGCGAGATATTGGATTATAATTAATATTACGTTTCGCAGCGTTTAAAAATCTACTCGAATAATTTGAGTATCGAGAACCCCTAGACGTCGCTTGCTTAACATATCCCAGCTTTTTTTAATTTTTTTTATTGCTTAGATGGGTGGACGAGCTCACAGCCTACCTGTTGTTAAGTGGTTACTGGAGCCCATAGACATTTACAACGTAAATGCGCCATCCACCTTGAGATATAAGTTACGCGTAAACATCGATAAAAAGCAAAAATAATATTATTATTATGATGTAAAGGTCGTTTTGAACGAATATTGGTCATGCTCTATTGTAGCCAAATACAGGTTGTTATGTTTTAGCATCGCTATAAAATTAATATTTATTGACCGAAGATTCAAACAGATTTAATAAGAATTTGCATACTTTTAAATATATACATTTATTGTAGACATCATCATGAATGCCGGTAAACATCTATAGAAATGAAGGCGAAATGTCAGCTAAATAGTGTAACGGGTAACCTTTTGGAAGACAGCACGTGATATTGTATGTCTTGATTTCAAGTTTATGAATGATGAGTACTATACACTAAATTAATGTTGTTAAGTCTAAATTTTATTTTATTTTTTTATTGCATACAAGGGTGGACGAGCTCACAGCCCACCTGGTGTTAAGTGGTTGCCAGAGTCCATGGACATCTACAACGTAAATGCTGCCAACCACCTTAGGATATGAGTTCTAAGGTCTCAGTATAGTTACAACGGCTGCCCCACCCTTCAAGCCTGTGTAATGGTGGTACCTACCACCAGTAAATACTACCCATGGATATGTAGCGTGAAATTGTCGTCAGGTAGGAAACCGTCCGTTAAATCATGACAAATCCCTGTGCATCCCTGCATCAGAGGACATACTGCGGTGACCACACATAATGTGGTATAACGTTAAGAAGAATGAGAAGTGTTAATCAGTAGGCAATCAAACAAGCCAATACACTACTATAACTATCTATTTGAAAGAGTTGCTCAACATTTTCTATAATATTTACAGGCATAGATATTTAACGCGTCTCTGAACAGCTAACCGTTGCCAAACATCGAAGGTTTTTATGTATTGAAATACATTCGATTGAAATATTCGAATTGTGGTCGTTGATTTGACGAGTTTCACAAGAAAATTTCATTTGCGTTGTTATTCGAATGTAAAATGCAAATTGGTAAGAGCGCCGTCAAAGTCCATAGCCACGTTTGGACGCAATAGCATTAAAATTCGTAAATCCACACCACCGTGAAACCTATCTGCAGTGGGATAAGTAAAAGAAACTTAGTATCTACGTTGATGGTATCTTATTTATACCTTTAAACGAGTAATTCTTGTATATTCATATATATGTATATAATCTGAATCTCGGAAACGGCTCCAACGATTTTCATAAAATTTAGTATACAGAGGATTTCGGGGGCGATAAATTGATCTAGCTACGATTTATTTTCAGAAAATGTTGTTTTATTCGTGTTTTCAATAATCAACTCTTCCCTACATCTATTGGC